TTTTTTTTTTTTTTTTTTTTTTTTTTTTTTTTTTTTTTTTCCATTTTTCACCTTGCCTGTTCATACTTTTTTGTCCATTTTGAAGGGAAAAAAAAAAAAAAAAAAAATCGCGTGTGTAGTTATGCCCGTGAAGCAGCTAGCGAAAAGGAAGAAGTCTGATGACCAATTGAGATAACATTTTATAAAATGTTAATTGAGAAATGTAATTTGTGAGGAATACCCTGCGTCTACTTGGCAGCGCGCAAAAAAGAGAGAAAAAAGAACAAAAAAAAAAAAAACGCGCACAACACAGGGGAGTAACAACACAGTGCATTGCAATGCAACTTTACACAACGCAAAAAAAAAAAAGGAACACCCCTCTCTACCCCCTTCCCATTTGGCAGATGACGTGAATCCAAAGTTTGAGATAGGATTTTCTCCTTTCTATTTTATTTCGTATCCTTTGTATAATGTAAAAAAAAAAAACAAAAAAAAAAAGGGAGTGCGCGCCGCTCTGCTCCTGGACAGGGACAAAGACAGCGGCCGAGACCAACACCGTAACGGACACCATGACCGCAATGCAGCTGTGACAATTTTATAAGCTTTATCACCCCCACTGCCCCCGCGTAGATTCAATGCAGAAGCATCCTCTACAAATATTTGAATCATTATGATAAGAACGTCGCGTATAGCCCTCTGGTCAACATCAACAATTTAAACCTAAAAACTTACATCATATGTATTTTCAACAGCTTGCAGCAGGTACTCCTTTTTGTTTTTTTTGCCCCCCCTGGGCGTTATAAAGAATGGTTGTGTGCAACACACGTGTGTGTTTATGCTTGTCTGTTTATATAACGTTCCTCACGTTTTCTGTTGACCTGCCCACCTGCTATACACCCCTGTCAATGTTGTCGCCTCATCCCGCAGATTTACCACGATGAGGGAATAAGCGGATTATACAAGGGGTTAATACCCATGCTGGCTCATATCATATCGAAGTAAATTTCGTGAAGGGCATGTAGTGCTGAACATACGCGTTTAAGGAGGGTGAAGATGAACTCGCGCTATGCTTTTTTTTCCCCCTTTTTTTTCACTTTTTTTTGTTCCCTCCTTTTTTTTTACCTGGCAGGAAGTCCTTTTATTACCTACTCGAAAAGATACATTTTGTCATTTGGAGCAGAAGGGGTAGGGAGAGAAGATTGTGAGCTATTCTTGGAAGACGGGCACGTCTGGGCGAATGTGCACATGTGTCAGATCGGCTTTTCCTCCACACCTCTTCCCTTCCTCCTGCAGGCAGAGAAAAGCAGAGGGGCCCATACAACAGCGGAAAGGCGCCCCGCAGTTACGAACACAGATTTGCAGACGATGACAGTCGTGAAGACGATGGGGAAAATGCAAGCAACTTCATTGGGGACGAGATAAATTTGCAAGTTGTGCGGCAGATGGATATGGTCAGGGACGATGACGACTCGGTCAAGAAGAAAAAGAAAAAAAAATATTTCCACCTGTCCTTTTATCACAGCTTTTACGAGTACCTCAGCTGCATCCTGTCCTACCCCCTGCTGAACATATCGACCAAGTTGATTGTCTTCCAAAACAATTCCGTGTCTCTCATGAACAGTAATGCAGCTAGTCGCGGTGCGGTGCGTGTGGCGGTGCCACCCACTTGATCGTCCACTTCTTCCACCCAGTTGACCGCGTGCATTTCCCCCCGCCCCTTTCCCCCGCAGACCTAAAAGCCATCGTCCACCTGACCTACATGTACGACGGATTCAAAGGATTCTTCAAAGGATTAAACAGCTACCTGCTCATACAGTCCACGGAGAAGATACTTAACTGTTTTCTCTACCGAGCCTTTTCCGACAGCTGCTCGTATGAGAAGGTTCTCACCATTAAGGTGGTTCTATCAAGTCGGTGCAGAGGGGAAGCGACAAGCGAGTTGGAACACCCAGTTCATCTTTCACCACATGTGTGTGTGGAGCGGTGTGCTGTGCCGTTGTGTGTCAATCTGCACCCCAACTTGATAATTGCTTCCATTTTTTTTTTTTTTTTTTTTTTTTTGCAGCATGCCTGAACACCATCATTGCGCCGTACATTCAATACTCCATCCTTAACAGGTCGCAGTCGCTCGTGCCGGTAATCTACACGTGTTCCCGTTTCCATTCGTGCAGGGGCTAATCGCTTTAGCTGCGGAGCGGTCTCACAGAAGGATGCATCCTTTGTGTGTATACGCAGTGGGTGATGACCCCACACACACACACCCTGTTTGTTTTTTTTTTTCTTTCCACCCTCTTCAGGGCCTTTGCAAAGAAACAACCTTTAACAATTTTTTTTGCACTTTCCACTGGAAGGTAAGTCTCCATTATGTTTGCACAGTTGTTCCTTTTTCTTCAATAGTGTGATGGGGAAGAAGTGTCATTTTTTTTTTTTTATTTTATCGTTCCCCTACCTACCCCCCCCCTGCAGAGTCACCTCTCAAATGTTTCTGTTGGATTAGTCGTTGCTGGGGTTCAGCTCATCGTAAGAGGAAGAGGAGGTCCTTTGCGGAAGGTCGCGTCACCTTGTACATATGAAGAATTGTTCATATGTACACGTACATATTTGTGTCCCCCCTGTTGTCTCTTCGCAGATCATCGCGCTGCTCCCGAGGGACACCCCCAAGAGCGACGAAGTTGTGGACCAGGAAAAGGACGAGTATTTCTGAAGGACACGTTGTCCCCATTTGGCGCCCCGAGGGGGAGGGGGGGAATAAAATGCAAAAAAAAAGGAGGTGAACCCCCCTCCCCCGTGCGCAGCGCGTTTAGCTTAACGTAACTTAGCGTTATGTATTTATTTATTTTTTTTTTTATTTTTTTTAACCGCGTAATAAGCCCATTTTAATCCTCCATCCGAAACGTTCATTTTAAATGACAAACGGGGGTACCTCCGTATTCTTGTCCTTCTTTCCTGCTTTTGCGCTTGTTCTTTTTTTTCTTTTTTTTTAAAGTCCATCGTGTCTCACTCTGCGGGAGGAGAACCTGTTTGTGTGCAGGAGTGGCAGTGGCACGACTGAACAGGCTGGTAGTACCTCTGAGGGGAATGCACACATGTGAGGCTACCAACTGTTCGTAATGGTCGTGGTGGTGATTGGGAATTCCAAAAGGGGGGGTTCCACATTTTTACGACATTCATGTGTGCATTTTGGGGGAGGAGGATGAACAGTTCGCTACAGGCCTTTGTCTAACCACACGGGGGAAAAGAACACAAAAATGGGGAGTACAAACTAGCACAACACATTCGGAGCGCCTGCAATTGCTTGGAGGGATCTTCCCACCGCTTCCTTTAGTGAAAAGAAAAAAAAAAAAATTGTGATGCCTTCGCCGCCAAAACCCTGCACTTAAAAGCTCGCTATTCGCGTGCCCCTCCTTTTTATGTCTCACATGTGCTAAAGGACCGTGCACACGGAAAAAGGAGGTGGCTAAACGTTTGAATGGAAAACGACTGGAGCACACTAAAAGCTTTATAAGGCATTCAACGTGACTGGCCCATGCGTCTACAATATCCCCCTTTTTATATGACTCCTCGGTATGGAACCTTTCCCCATTTCGTTAACACAAATTTGAAAATGCAAAAAAAGCTTTCTATACATTGTACAGGGGAAAACTGACCAGAGGTGAATTTTTTTTTTTTTTTTTTTTTTTCCTTTATTACTACCTCCGTTGTTTATATATATATATTTTTTTGTTCTGTTACGCGGCGTTGTGTTAATCGTCTTTACATGAAACATTTTTTTGTGTGTTTCCGTTTCTGTTTTTTTTTGTTTGTTTTGTTTTTTTAACTGATTGTTTGCTTGTTTGCTGATTGGCTAGTTGTTCCCTGCATTTTTTCCCCCGTCGTGCAACCACGGAAAAGCTAACCTGCGAAACCGTGAAATTGTAAAACGGTGGAACCGCGTTAACCGCCTCACTGCTTGACCGCCCCACTGTCGCCCTTCTTAGATGCTCTCCTCCGCAGTGCCCAAAAGGTACAAGTTCGACCAGAAGGGAAACCTGACCGAAGTAAACCTGCTCCACTGCAAAAGCGTCGTCCTGAGGAACAAGTACATCGACTCGAAGAACAGCCTGACTTGCTCCACGAACATAATCCCAGAGTTACACGAAACCGCGAACGATTGCAGCACTTCCAAGATGGCGACCATGTCACAGGAAAACGTGTTCGAACCCGAACCGATAAGTACAAGCTCTTACGCACATGAGGGTGTAGGGGGTGGCGCAGGATCATCATCCTTACTCAGCATGAACATGGTTCAAAGTGTGAGTAGCGTTAGCAACGGTGGAAACGATTCACCCCAGTACATACCAAATCAGTGTTGTAATATGAACATGATGATGGGTGGGGCCGGGTTATGTGGGCAGGAAGTGAATAACGCCCCATTAGTGTTTGTAGATGGAGCTGCGTACTGTGCAGAGGATGGAGGACAAGGGATTGACCCCGGAGTAGTGGCTGTGTCTAATGCTTTGTTCGCATACAACAGCGCATTTCAGTGTATTCCGATAAAGACCTCTCCCAATGTGTTTCGCCGAAGGATAAAGGGGGAAGGAAACTCCGAGTGGTCCAATGCCTTCGTTACGAGGGTCGACCCCTGTGAGTGCGGAGACCCTGAGGAGCAATTCAAGCCCTACGAGGTCACCAAGTACTATGATGATGGCCAGGTGAAGACGGTGTTCAACTTTGACCAGGATTCCGCTTCGCAAGAACAACCACCCCTGTAAAGGTGTGTAGAAAAGGGGGGGGGGGGGGGGAAACAAAC